GGGGCGAGGCCCCTACCCCATTTATTTTTTATTTTATTTTTTGCTTTTACTTTGTTATGTCCTTAATTAGTAAATATTATTACTTTTTTACCTACTTTGTTGAAAAAAGTTTATGTTCTCTTTAAAAATGATGATAAATCTATTATTTTTGTTTGATAAAAATTTAGATTTGAAATTAACTTGAAATGGGGCGGGGACAATGTTTCCCATACCAACCCTATACTCGCTTCAGGGCAATGACCCTCTCCCCGTATCCTTCCCATTTACCCGATTGGACAGGTAATCCTCGCCCTATTCGGGACGAGGCCTCATGGGTATTGGGTTGAACGAGTTTTTTTGCCATCTCTAAAAATAAGCTATAATAATGTTAATATTTGGTAATTAAGCAAAGTTAGAAAAAAAAAATATAGATGAAGTAAAATAAAAATTTGGGTTCACAAGAACTTTTTACTTTGCCATTCTAACTATAGTCCTATGACCAAAAAGCTCATTCAAATTTTCATAATTCAGGAATAACCGTTGTGAGGTTTCTCCACAAAAAAACTGAAATGAAATAAAATAAAAATGATATTCAAGTTCTTTTATTTACTATGTTTTAGCCACAAAAATTCTAACTGTAGTCCTTTGAATTTTCCACAATCTCATTGTTAATATCTATGTACTATGTTATTCCAATTTGCCATTACTAGATACACATACATGAGGATATGTATGCTTCTTGATTACTACAAAATAAAAAGAGGAATTGTCATTTTCCCACTAGATTAATACCCACTTCCTATAAAGTTTTGGAATAATGGTGGGTGAACAGAACTTTTATTATTGAGATATTTAATATTCATTCTGTATAGTAATTAAAATTAATCAAAAATAAGACACGATTACTAAGTATAACAATAAGAATTCAGTTTATTTTGTTCTTTAATTTTGTTCATGTTGTCTTAGCAAATAGAATAAATACGTGCTTGCTTTCGTTTGGAGGCAAGAACCCAATCTTGAAATGAAGCAAAACACTACTTGTCAAATAATTAAGGTTTGATGAAGGCTCATTTATAATGTGAGTAAATTCTAAATGGACATTAGATTAGATATTGATTTGGTCAAACATGCAAGGATTAAAGTTTGGTTTGGTTTGATGAAATTATTAATTCTAGTATTCACATTTAATAAGAGAAAAATATTGAACTCAAAATTCAAACATCTACTTTCTCATAAAATTGAGGCTACTGTAATTATAATCAAAAATAATATCTGAATTGATTTGTCAAAGTTAGTGGTTTAATCTAACTATTAAATTAAAAATTAAAGAGTCAATATGGGGAAATAATTTTTTAGCCGCCTATACGTCGACAGTGATATTAACGCAAAAAAAAAAAAAAAAAAAACCCTCGGCTTAGACAATTCTAAAACTAATAATTATTTAATTTTTAACAATAAACTTTTTATGTTCCAACAAATTTACCGCAATAAAAAATTGGCATTCAAGATGCCTTTGCAACTTGAATAACTTTTAATACGACTTGATCATACGCTCTTTCTTTTTTTTTTCCCGCTCTTTAAGTTCAAATCATGTAGTCTTCGACCAATATACTATTTATTTAGCTCTTATTTTGTATTCCCTACCTCGAGACAGGAAAAGTTCAATCGATTATTTGTTTTACATCTTTAACTTGATATTGTCTCTCTCTTAGGTACTTATTATGTTTTTATTTTTTATTCTCAATAAAATGTGCCAGTTGCTAAAAAAATCATAAATAATAATGTATTACCTCCCCGAGCCAAAAAAAAAAAAAAAAAACCATTATTTCTGTAGATAACAAATCTTAATCACGGGTTTCATGATTTACTAATATGTTTAAACCATATGCATTTTTTTTATGGTGAATTAAAACATTAAAATAATAGAAACGGTTAAGACGGAAGAAAAACGCAATTCCATAGATGACAAAATCAAACATAATTTCCCAAACCCTTTTACTTTTCTAAAAGTGAATTTTCAGTTTGAAACGTCAATTCTCTTCAACATTCTTTCCAAATCAAGTATTGTGCAAAGAGTTTTCCGTGCACAACTCTTATTTAAAACACCAAACACGTGTATTAAAAATAATCGAAAAACTTAAAGAATTTCTGTAGGTTCTGGCTAGGAAGTTAAAAGGCAGTTTCATCAAGCAGCCCTACGAACTACAAGCGTGCATGGGAAAAACTTGAGTTAGGTCCCATATCACAAATGGAGGTTTGACCTACGAAAAAAGCCAAAGACCATGCTAATAATAAAGTTGGTATGGGTCCACGAAGATGTGATCACGAACGTGTTCCACCGGTCTTGTCAGTATAATCTTACTTATTTGATTTGGATTCTTTGGGTAATAAATTAATTAATCTTCTGCTACATATTTCTTGTACAGTAGTACTGGTACCATATCATGGAAACCACTATAAATTACCCTCGAGGTTCCCCCCTTAACATTGTGATTCATAGACTCAAAACAGCAAGAGAAGGATAAGAATAACTAGAGAGAGAGAGAGAGATGGCAAGTTTTCCCGTTATTAACATGGAGAAGCTCAATGGAGAAGAAAGGGCTGCAACAATGGAGAAGTTCAAAGATGCTTGTGAGAACTGGGGTTTCTTTGAGGTATAAATATATAATTAGTTCTGTTATTAATACATAAAACCAAAAGGATTTTTAAATTTGTACTAAAAATTAATGGTTGATGATCTTGTAATTAAGCTGGTGAATCATGGGATTTCTCCCGAATTCATGGACACTGTAGAGAGGCTGACAAAGGAGCACTACAGAAAATGCATGGAACAAAGATTTAAGGAAATTATGGCGAGTAGAGGACTTGAAGCTGTTCAATCTGAGATCAATGATTTAGACTGGGAAAGTACCTTCTTCCTCCGCCATCTCCCTGATTCAAACATAGCAGAAGTACCTGATCTTGAAGATGAATACAGGTTAATTAATCAGTTTTCATGACTAACTTTTACATTATCTGGGATTTTTCTGATCTTAGTTGAATATTTTACGAATGCTAACAGGAAGACTATGAAGGAATTTGCTGCAAAACTAGAGAAATTAGCAGAGCATCTTCTTGATTTGCTTTGTGAAAATCTTGGACTAGAGAAAGGCTATCTGAAAAAGGCATTCTATGGCTCTAAAGGCCCTAACTTTGGAACCAAGGTCAGCAATTATCCCCCATGCCCCCAGCCGGATCTCATCAAAGGACTTCGAGCACACACTGATGCTGGTGGCATCATCCTACTTTTCCAGGATGACAAGGTAAGTGGCCTCCAGCTTCTTAAAGATGGCGAATGGGTTGATGTGCCACCTATGCGCCACTCCATTGTCATCAACATTGGCGACCAACTCGAGGTATGCCCAACGGTAAAACCAACTCGAGGTTTTTATATTCCGTTGTTTTCTTGGGATTAAGGCTTAATTCCTTCCGACTTTTTGTGAAGGTGATTACAAATGGAAAGTACAAGAGTGTGATGCACAGAGTGATTGCACAAACAGATGGAAATAGAATGTCCCTTGCATCATTCTACAATCCTGGAACTGATGCTGTGATCTATCCAGCATCGAAATTGGTAGAGAGAGAAGAGAATAAAGAGTTGTACCCAAAATTCGTGTTTGAGGACTACATGAAGCTCTATGCTGGCCTCAAATTCCAGGATAAAGAACCAAGATTTGAAGCCATGAAGGCCACGGAAAACACACCTAATTTGGGTCCAATTGCTATTGTTTAAGTAGTAATTAGGTTAAAATTCTCTGTCGTTCATGTAAACTTATGAGCTAATAGCTAAAGCTAGTGAATCCGTTGAAAACTCTCTATCCTCTCAGTCCAATATTTGTGTTGGATTTTATTGTGTTTTCTGTTCATCAATGAAATTGTCTTTGCGTTGAATTTTACTGTATTTACAGAGCAAGAAGCCATGAATGGCAATTGCTCCGTCAAATCAAACACCTAGTTTTACTGTAAGAAAATAATGGAATCAAATCTTTGTTGGCGCCGAAATTCATGGCTATCTTCGCCAACCCGCTCATTTATAAGTTTGTTACATTTATTTTGGAATAAAATGTTCACTTTACTTTTTAGAATCATTTTTCTCCCTTCTCACAGTTTGCTTGTTATCGGATTTGATGTCAATTTTTTGCCAATGGAAAGTTGAATTTTTGTTAAAAGGTTTGGAGACTTACACTCAAGAGGTCACTTGTCAAAATTATATAAAGCAGCTGTTTGGTAACAATTTTTTATCTCAAAAAATCAATTTTTGACTGTTATTTCACCATTTTAACCATCGTTTTTTACTTTCTCACAAACTTTTCTCTTTAATGGTCAAAAAATCAATTTTCATAATAAATATTGAAAAGCCCAAAATAAAAAATGATGGGAGTGTAAAGGAGATAAAGTGAAAAGTGACTTGACTACTACAATATATCATGAATACATTTTTTTTCTTTATTTTTCATTTTTCAGAATTTGATCGAAGAATTTATGAAGCTGCATCCTCAAGCTCCTGGCTTGTAAATCAGTAAATGGATAGAGAGAAAGAAGAAACAAAATCCATAGAATAAAAAAAGGGAGAATAATTTGGACCGTGGAAGAAGTTTGATTGGCTCATAAGTTATCATGGTGGAACACCCAATCGAGGAATAGCATTATTCTTTAAATGTATTTGGTACATCAGATTAAATTCGATTGTCTAGTAAACAAAATTTTAACTATTAAAGAGAGAGAGAGAGAGAGAGAGAGAGAGAGAGAGAGAGAGAGAGAGAGAGAGTATTTTAGTCTTATAAGGCTTGATAGAGCTCATGCATAATGTGATTGCATTCTAAATGGACATTAGATTAGGTAAATATATATATATATATATATATATATATATATATATATTTTGAATGTTTCAAAATGGAGAATTGCAACTCCATTGACATTTTTTGTATCGAAAGGCGAAACTCTAAGTCTTGGTAAGGACTCCGGAGGAAAAAGAAGAAATGTCCAGAGTTTCATATTCCAGTGTGTTTGGGACCTTGATGTATGTTATGATTTGTACTCATACCGACATTTGCTATGTCGTTCGCCTGGTCAGTAGGTATCAATCTAATTCTGGAATAAAACATTGGAAAGCTGTAAAGAGGATATTAAGACACTTGAAGGATACTGCTAGCTATTCTCTATGCTATCAAGGAGGTGATTTGTGCTTAAAATGATACGTAGATGCTAATTGAGATGAAAACCTTGTGACCGCAAATTAACTTAGGGATATGCATTCTTACTTAATTTAATAATCGTGCCATGTATTGGAGTTGCAAGAAACAAACATACATTTCCTTGTACACAATGAAAGTAAAATTCATACTATGTGCTTCAGTAGTATAAGAAGTTGTTTGGTTAAAGAGATTCTTTCAGCACCTAAGAGTCTTTAATGGTGACATAGGACCTATTTTGATTTATTGTGATAATCAGGTTGCTATTGCATATGCAAAGAATCTCAAGTATTGTAGCAGAATCAAATACATTGATACAACATATAAATTTGCAAGAGTCATCATAGGAAAGAAAGAAGTAAGTTTGCGATATATTTTTATGCATCAAATGGTAGTTAATCCATTTACTAAATCTATCCCTATAGATGTATTTGTTAATCTTGTTAATTCTATGAGATTGCATAGAATTTGAATTATGTACTATGTAAACTTTTTTATATTTCCATTAATTAACAATATTCTTGAGTTCATATGTTAAGAGTAATCTTTTGTTATGATTATCATATAACTATTTAATATGCACATATAAAGTATTTCAAATATGTTGAAATTGGTTTACTCACAAGAACAATCGGCTCAAGCAAATTGGGATGTGATGAGATCAAACAGGGCGATCATACTGTGTACATGATACAGCCGTCTTGATGAGGTATCAAGATGATATTACAACAAGTAATCGAAATAGTTTTTATTATCCATCAAACTAGTTTAAAATCTAGATCAAGTTCTCGATTGGGATTTTCTAGAGGAATAAATAAGAACTCATGTTAAATATTGAGAAATATATTAACTATGATATGTACGGTGTATTTAATTTATAAGATTAGATATATGCCTTAAGAAAGGAAGAAAACATCATAACACATATTTCATAACACTTGTGCTTTAATTTAATGAGCAATGAGAAATGAAAGAATCGATTACTATTTCTTTATTGTGTGTGTCTCTGAAGCACATATAATCTTACTTATATACTCTTATGACTTTTGATTATTTTTCAAAATTTTAATTTGGTGTTGTTATACTTTAGCATGTTCCCAATAATTATGGATGATTCGATTTGATGGGACATGTTTAAAAAAGCAAATGACTTGAAATGAATTGATTCGAGTAGGAAATGAAGACTATTTTATCTAACTCTTCACCTTGTATTCACTGATTGGACAATTGTGTTGACTATTTGAGTTTTGTGAGATAATACAATATAAATAAAAATTTTGAATTTTTTTTTTATTAATTGAGGGGTTAGAAATACTCAAACTAGTATTATAAAATATGCTTGGGGTATAAACAGAAATATATTTCCTCTAGTAGAATTGTGATATATTCCTAACAAGTATCTAACATTGAGTGCTCTTAAATTAACTTGTTGGTCACATGATCCATTTATTTATATGATCTTGGATATATTGAGATAATATAATTAATATTATATTAAGATTAAGTCAAGCCCATCATATGCGAATGGAATAGGTTGGAAAAAAAAAGGCTTGTCTATGTGGGTAGATCCAACCCAAATTGCATGGGAGTTGTCTGGAGGGAGAAGTTGAGGGAGTTGAGGTTTTGAATTTGAAAGCATTACTTCCCACCACCTCTAACTTTCATAAAACACCCACTCCACCACAAAATCAGGCACAAAACAATGCAATTTGGATTGTAAAATAGAGAGAAAAAACCATGAGGACGGTAGCTTCATTTCGGAAGTATAACATCACAAGTTGGGTTATTAGATTGTGAATATCAAACTCCTTCCTTGATGATTGAGTTTCTGACCAATAAGTGGGTACAAAATGATGTGGAAATCAAACTGCAAGTGATTCAACATCGTTTTGTAATTTCAAGTAAGTTTTACTATTTGGAATTCGATTATAAACATGCAAGCTTGATTTACATGTTGGAAGGTCATAACTTCTTCGATTTTAAGTCAAAGTTAATGTTCTTTATACCATTAGAAAGTTCTCGAGAAAGTCTATCCAACCGTGTCAATGGACAATGTGAAACCTAATGAAATTTCGATTTTCTAAATTAGTGCTCGATTTTTCTCCCAAAATATAAATCCAAATGAAGCAAAATTTTCTAGATATGTTCTACATAATATTATGAACATATGGTATAAATTCCATGACTTTATATAGATTATATTAAAATTTTCCATTAATGATGTTGAAGCTTCTCGAAGAAAACAAAATTCATGCATTTCGATATTCTAAAACATTTTAAGCATTTTTTAAAGCAAAAACACAATCTACTTAGGCTTTGATGCCAATGTAAATCAAGCTTGCATGCTTATAATAGAATTTCAAGTAGTAAAACTTACTTGAAATCACAAAACAAGGTTGAATTACTTGCCTTTTGATCGCTTGCTTTCTACACTATCATGTAGCCGCGTATTGGTTAGAAACTCAATCACCAAGAAAGAAGTTTGATGTTCACATTCAAAGAACCCAATTTGAGATGTTATAATTTCAAAATCAAGCCACCACCCTCAAGTGTTTTTCTCTCTATTCTACAATCCAAATTGCATTGTTTGTGTTTGATTTTGAGGTAGAGTGGGTGTTTTATGTAAGTTAGAAGTGGTGGAAAGTTATGGTTTCAATTCGGGTCGAGTCAGGCCACATAGACGACCCTTTTTCTTCCAATAATCTGTTAAAACGAAATCAAATATATTTTTATTTAAGAATTCTAGAACAATAACAACTTGGCATTAAAGATGCATTTGAAATTTCCATATATTTAATATAACTGGATCGGACAGCTATAATACGTCACAAAATTTATTCCAAACAAGATCACCCCCTCAACATTGTGATTCATAGAGTCAAACAAGTAGAGACAAAAATAGTAGGAGATGACAAGTTGAAGAAGAATGAACTGCAACAATGGAGAAGATCAAAATGCTTATGAGAACTTGGGTTTCTTTGAGGTACAAATACATAAAGCCTAAAAAGCCAAAGGATTGTTAATTTTGTATTAATATTATTGTTGTAATCTTGACATAATTATTTAAGCTGGTGAATCATAGAATTTATACTGAGTGCCTGGACAATGTGGAGAAGTTGACAAAAAAAAATGGTAAATGTATTTTATACACTTATTTAGATCGTCCAATGTGAATATTTGGGAGTATTTTTTATGGTTTATAAATTAATCTCTTGCAGATAATGTTTGTTAAGTAAAACTTGATGATATAAAGTCATTTTAGAAGAAATGAACGAAAAAAGAGCTAAAAAGGAAAATTTTCAAAGTTTAGGGACTAAATTGTATGCTCAGTCTGATTCTCAAGATGCTTGGACTGAAGCACCCGATGTCTATCCCTAAACCAGTGCAATACTATTTTGTGCATATTTTGGCAAATCTAGGCTTGGACATGGTTCGAGTTTGGACGAATTTTCATTTTTTGCCCACCCCTAAGCAAATCTTAACTTCAACCAACATATATATATATATATATAGACACACACACACACCCATTTATCGTTTTATCTACACATTCCGTAAGAAACACAAGTTTTATGCATTTGAATAAACGTATAGAGTATACTTACACATAACACGCTATATTTTAAAAAATTATACTTTACATATTATCCTGTACATTATGTTGACAAAAAAATAACTTTGGCTAAAAGACACTTACAAATTTGCCATAAAAAATAGTTAAATAAACGAAAATATTCATAATCGAAAATAACATATCACACCCTTTATGTTGCATTATGTAACACTTTACATAAAAACTTTTTAAATTCTTTTCACCAAAAGTTCAATTACTATTCATTTTCATCTAAAATTTAGTTTTTTTTTTTTTTTTTCTCATTCATCCATCTCTACATAAATTAAAATTAACTATTTTTTTTCCCTCGTTCATCTATCTCTACATAAATTAACATTCGCTCGAGTACTTTCACTACATAATTCAAACATCTACTTTCTCATAAGAATGAGGCTACTAATCTGACTATTAAATTAAGAATTAAAGTGTCAATCTGGAAAAATAATTTATTAGCTGCCTGACGTCGACAGTGATAAGAATGCAAAATCGGGGTGAAACAATTCTAAAACTGACAATTTTTGAAATTTTAACAATTATTATTATTATTTTTTATGATTCAAAACGTTTTGACAGCAATACAAAATTGGGATTCAAGATGCATTTGCAACTTGAATAAATTTTCAGACAGCTATTTTTTTCATCGCTATTTAAGTTCAAATCATGTACTCTTCTATCAATGTACTATTTATATAGCTCTTATATTGTATTCCCTGCCTCCAGACGGGAGTTCAATTGATTATTTGTTTTACGTCTTTAACTAGAAGTTGTCTCTCTCCCATGTATGTATTATTTTGTATTTTTATTTTCAATAAAACTTGCCAGTTGCCGCATCTATAGTTGGTTAAAAAATCATAAATGATAATGTATTACCTCCCTTAAAAAAATAATAATAATAATAATAAATAAATAAAAAATCACCAATATTTAATCACGGGTTTCATGATTTAGAAGTCCTTGTTTAATCTCCATTATTTTCAAAATACATTTCTCCCTCTCTTCTTTCTAACAACACATTCTTTAATAAAAATAATATTGCACATAAACCCAAAATATTTTCTTGTTTTACATATTCTCTATCAACTTATTATTTTAAAATACATTCTTGACCATATATGATCAAGCCATATAACCCTTTTAGAGCCTTATTATTTTCTCATTAAAATGAAAAAGATGACTGTTATTCATTACATCAAGTCACCATATTTGACTTTTTATCTCTTGTGTGGAATCCATAACGACTATATTTTTCATTTTTATTTTTACAATAATGTGGCTCAAATGGGGCGTAATGTTTATAGTGAATTAAAAACTTTAAAATAATAGAAACGGCTAAAACGTAAGAAACAAGCAAATAGCAATTCCATAGATGACAAAATCAAATTGAAACGTCCATTCTTTCCAAATTCCAAATCAAGTATCATTAAAATAGTTTTCTTTGCATAAATATTATTTAAAATATCAAACACGTGTATTGAAAATAATTTTGAAAACCTTAAACAATTACTGTAGGTACTAGGTAGGAAAATGTTAAAAGGCAGTTTCATCAAGCAGCCCTATAAACGACAAGCGTGCATGGGAAAAATTGGCGGCCAGCCTGAGTTAGGTCCCATATCACAAATGGAGGTTTGAACGTTTGGTCGATGAAAAAAGCCAAAGATCATGCTAATAATAAAGTTGGTATGGGTCCATGAAGATGTGATCACGTTTCCACACCAGTCTTGTCTGGAAAATCTTATTAGATTTGGAATTTTTTTTTTTTTTTTTGGGGATAATAAATCTTCTGCTATTTCTCCATATCCTGAAAACCACTATATATTACCCTCCAGGTTTCCCCTTCAACACTGTGATTCAAAAACTCAAAATAGCAAGACGGAGATAAGAATAACTAGAGAGAGACAGAGAGATGGCAAGTTTTCCAGTTATTAATATGAAGAAGCTCAATGGAGAAGAAAGGGCTGCAACAATGGAGAAGATCAAAGATGCTTGTGAAAACTGGGGTTTCTTTGAGGTACAAATATTATTAGTTTTGTTACTATGCAACTTAACATACATAGAACCGAAGTGATTCTTAAATTTGAACTAATAATTACTATGGTTGTTGATCTGGTAATTAAGCTGTTAAATCATGGGATTTCTCCCGAATTCATGGACACTGTAGAGAGGCTAACAAAGGAACACTACAGAAAATGCATGGAGCAAAGATTTAAGGAAATGGTAGCGAGTAAAGGACTTGAAGCTGTTCAATCTGAAATCAATGATTTAGACTGGGAAAGTACCTTCTTCCTCCGCCATCTTCCTGTTTCAAACATAGCAGAAGTCCCTGATCTTGAAGATGAATACAGGTTAATTACTCAGTTTTCATAAGCAACTTTTATACCTGGGATTCTCTGATCGTAGTTGAATATTTTTTGAATGCTAACAGGAAGACTATGAAGGAATTTGCAGCACAACTAGAGAAATTGGCTGAGCATCTTCTTGATTTGCTTTGTGAAAATCTTGGACTAGAGAGAGGCTATCTGAAAAAGGTATTCTATGGCTCTAAAGGCCCTACCTTCGGAACCAAGGTCAGCAATTATCCCCCATGCCCCCAGCCGGATCTCATCAAAGGACTTCGAGCACACACCGACGCCGGTGGCATCGTCCTACTTTTCCAGGATGACAAGGTCAGTGGCCTCCAGCTTCTTAAAGACGGTGAATGGGTTGATGTGCCACCTAAGCGCCACTCCATTGTCATCAACATTGGCGACCAACTCGAGGTATGCCCAACAGTAAAAGCTACTGAAACCCGTGTTTTTTTTATTCTGTTTCTGCTTATTATTGCTCTTGTAATTAAGATTAAGGCTTAATTCCTTCCGACTTTGTGTGAAGGTGATTACGAATGGAAAGTACAAGAGTGTGATGCACAGAGTGATTGCGCAAACAGATGGAAATAGAATGTCCCTTGCATCATTCTATAATCCTGGAAGTGATGCTGTGATTTATCCAGCATCGGCATTGGTAGAGAGAGAAGAGAATAAAGATTTGTACCCAAAATTCGTGTTTGAGGAATACATGAAGCTCTATGCTGGTCTCAAATTCCAGTCTAAAGAACCAAGATTTGAAGCCATGAAGGCCATGGAAAACACACCTAATTTGGGTCCAACTGCTATTGTTTAAGTAGTAATTAGATTAAAATTCACTGTTGAAGAGTCTTAATCTCCTCAGTCCAATCTTAATATAGTCCTCTTATATTTGGAAGGATTGTAAACTTATAAAATTCTCTGTTCATCAAAGAATTTGCCTGTGTTGAATTCTACTGTATTTAATATTTACAGAGCAAGAAGCCATGGACGGCAATGATTTGAACTACCCTTTTTTTGTTTTTGGAAAAATAACTGTTCCATTGATTGCTCTGTCAAATAAAACACCTAGTTTTACCAAATTTGAAAGGAAACAATCTTGCTACATGTAGATCTTAGTTTACACTTAAACTTATCGAATTTATACTTGACACAATCTCGCATCATCTTTTACATCTTACACATTTAAATCAACCATTACAATCTTTGTCACATTATCCCATCTATCAATAAGGTGTCAAACTTAATATACAAATAGCTTAAATGAAAAGGAAAATAATCCTATCAAGTTTTTTGTTGGAGCCTAGATTCGGTCCTCTCTTTCACCCACCAACTCATTTACTTTATGAATTTATACATTTGTTTTGCAATCACAGCTTGTTTGACAACCATTATTATACAGGTAAAAGAGTTTTAAATGATGATTTTTAGGAGAATGTGTGGGTAAAATGTAGGAAAAAGTTTTGATGTATGTGCAAGATATTTTATTGTGGAAATCTATGGTTGAAAATGATCATCTAATAAATCATAAAATAAATCAATATATATCAAACATGCACTCGATTTTTTTGCTTCTCACAGTTTGCTTGTTATCGATGTTGATGTCATTTTTTTGGAGTTAAATTCACCAATGATCACCCAACTTTATAGTTAGTGTCACATTGACCATCCAATTTGATTTTGTTTCAACAAAGCTGCCCAACTTCATATTTATTGTAACATTGGCCACCTAATTTAATTTTGTTTCACCATGACCACCCAACTTCATACTTAGATTCAGTGAAGCCACTTGGTAACTTTATTTAACATAATCAAATTGGGTGGCCAATGTGACATTAAGTATGAAATGAGATAGTTATAGTGAAACAAAATCAAATTAAGTGGCCAATGTAACACTTAGTAAGAAGTTGTGTAGCTATGGTAAAACAAAATCAATTTGGATGATCAATGTGGCACTCAGTATAAAATTGGGTGGTCATTAATGTATTTAACCCCATTTTTTTTCCTTGCGCAAAAGGCTATCTCACTACCCATAATTGATTTTTTAAATTTATTATTATTTAAGTTTTTTATTCTTCATATTTGATAGCTACTTTTGATTTTTTTTTTTTTTTTACTTTTAAATATATAATATTTTAGGCAATAAATTGTAGTCATCACTCACAAACTAAACTGATTTTCAGAAGGTCTTAGTTCTATTTTTTGAATGTGAGAATTGAATCTCAAACGAATCAAATTGTGAGTAAGTGTCATAGGTATAATATTTCTCACCATGAGAAACTGTGTTTGAATTGACTATGATTGAGCTAAAATGGATGCTACCTAGTAAAAAAATTATATTTAGAGGCTTCATAATATTTTGTCACCTTGAACTTCAAAATTCTCAAAGTGGACTTGATTGTGTTGACCTCGAAATTTAGTAGGATCAAGCAGTTAACAACTCACAGTTACCTTCCGTCCCCCCATACGCTACTTGCAGAATAACACATCTTACTTATTCGAGGACTCCGTGAATCTCTATGCTGGTCTCAAATTCCAGGCTAAATAACCAAGATTTGAGGCCTTTAAGGCCATGGAAAAACTACTAATTTGGGTCCAACTTCTGCTGTCTGAGAAGTAATTAGCATAAATCCAATAGTATCTGTCTCTTTTGTGCTCTAATTGTACTTAGATAGTCCATCTGTTTAAAAATCTTTTCTTCCATCCAAGCTGTAAGCTTTTAAGGTTTCTTTATGAGAGTGAGTGACCCAACCTTTTCTCCATAAATCAAAGAATTTAGCCCATGTTTGACAACTTTTAAAAATTTAAATTGTTTGCTACAATATCATTTTTCACCACATTTTCACACAATAAAATATTCGACACACAAATTAATAAATATTCCTTTTTAACCACACATTCTCCAAAAGTACTATTCAAAATTCTTTAACTTTTAAAACAATGAGTGTCAAATAGGCCCTCAATACAATTCGTGCAGAATTTTATATGACCAAACTATTTATTCAAAAGGGAATCTGTTTAAGAAAAGCAAATACATTCAGGAGACTTCTAGCAAATGTCACAAACACAATGTTGTCCTAATAGAAGCCTATTTTATGTGCAAGAAAGAATACTTGTGGGCCATAACTGATGTTAGCCTTCCTCCAGTTGGAATAGAAAAAGTCTTTTTCCTATAGTAGTAGTTTTTAGTAGAAGTCAAAACTATTATCATTTGACATATAATAAAGCCGATTTGGTGAATCTCATATTGATTTCATTTTTTAACACTTCAAGCAATACTTTGCTACCAACTTCCACAAACGCAATCATGATTCGATGAATCCCAGATTGATTTCAATCTTATGGTAATGAAAATATAAGTACTTTCTTACTGTTACTATTGAGTTTAAAATGAAGTGTATATATGATTATTACAATTACAATCCAGAAATATAAACTTTCAAAAAGCATAAAAAATCGAACCAATTGATCCAAAACTTCTTCAAAACTGCCAATGGAATGTCCTATGATGTTGAGCTCAGATTTGTGCTACACCGGATCATACAACATCTTCCATGGGAATGGTAATGAATATATCAAGAGAACCGTCATAGGCAATCAAGAATTTCACGGGAGATATAAACCTCTCCCACTTAGCTCCTTTCTATATATTTTCTCTATGTTTTCCAAATCTAAATGAAAACATGTGAATACATATATAATTATAGAGCCAAAACCATTTCAAATTCAAAATTCAAAACTAATGACAAGTGATATGACTAGCAAAAGAAAGTGACTGCAAGATTAAATCCAACCATTAGATTTAATCTCTGGTCCACAATTATATCAAACTAACACAATCATAGACAAACACTTATGGCTAATAATCATATGCCAAGTGGATTTAAGTGATCCACCTCACAAATCTTTACATTGGATCACAATATAATCCATCGCCAAATTTCCTGGATACAGGTGATATCCATTATTGTGATCTTATTTCAGTAGCATCTGATTCTCTAGCTTCTCTAACATTTCAGTAGCATCTTTCATTTTTTTCTTTTGCACTGTCAACAAATTTAATTATCTAAATAGGATCCCATTTAGAAAAGTCTTCTTTCCGCTAACACAAAGGACCAATTAAGTTTTGCCATTTTAAATTGATGCTTTCCGAGTACCAATAGTCCTTCATAAAGATCCAGTTTCATTAAGAGGGCCTTCTCATACTATCTCAAGCAAGAGAATATTTTTCTCTTACCCAATCATAGGCAATTTGAACTTATGCGGCCACTAATGCATTTGAAGCTATTTCATCCATTGGAATCTTTTTCCTTGCTATACACTTATGTACATTTCCCTAGTTGAAAAAACTAGAGTTGACACCACTTGAAACTCCAAGAAAGCCTTGTGCAAAAAGTTTTAAGCTTCTTCGCTTGTCACAGTTTCCCCGAAAACTACACAACATAGTTCCATTCCAAGCTCGTGCAGATCAATATCAGCATCATAATCAATCTTGAGATGGGAACAGAAAAGTTGTGCAAACACAAATAATCAATCATCCATCTCCACCTCCTTGCATTCAGGATCTTCTGATGTGCTAGATTTCTCCTTTGAAGCTATTTTCTCCATCTTATTAGTCACACTGTCTACAATATCCATCACAGAATAACCCAGTGAAGATTGTGAAAAACTCTCATCTCCTTTAATCCGATCACTCTCAAGAGGCTTCTCTTCATCCTCTTCCAATAAAGGCGGCACTTGCTCAAGACTCACCTCAACAACGTGTAATCTCAACATTAACAAATAAGTCTATTTTGGGTTTTGATATCTAATAAATCTCAAGCTACTATGCTAAACTTTAGAATATATTTATAAGCCTCGATCGATAAGTGAAATAATTATCAACAATCAAGTCCAAAAGCTTAACCCAACCCATTTATATTATCTCTTAGATGACTTTGAATCTTTGCCCATTTAACTTTATTATTTGACCAACTAAAGCCTAACCTAACCCTATATATATGTGCTTACCCTAGCTATTTTTAGTATGTGATTCGTGTGTGGGAAAGAGAAAAAAAAAACTTATGACTTAAGAGATGAAATTTGGCTGTCTTCATTGCTAGAAAGAACCGGCGAATTCATCTTTGTATTTTGGTATCTTCTTTTGTCTTCCTCCATTGTTTTTTTCCTGTGCATTTGTGACTTACAAATCATGACCATTCTCTTGTCCTTCATGGGTGAGATTGAGAAGTAACTTAGGTGAATATATTGGTTGTGGGTTTGAGCCATTTGGATTGGTTGGTTGCTTGGTAAACAAAGATAACGTGAAACTAGGCTAAAAAAAAATATCGATTTGACGATCCTTGGAACAAGCTTCCATGACAATTGGTATTAGAGCTTCAAGATGGTAGATTTGGCTTGAAAAACTAACCAAAAACCATCCAAAAAATTGTCCTGAAATGAAGTATAAATTAGATCTTAAAATTGTCTAGAAAATTGCACAAAAATCGGACCTATTACAGTTGCTGGAGACTTTAGGACGAATAGTAGTGGTCCTAAAGTGATAAATTCATATCTCTTGGATATCTTGGGACTCAGATTAGTCCACTCTGATATATTAACTTATCCCAATTTAATTTTTAACATTAGCGCGTCATTGGATGGGATGAAATTAGGATTGGGGTTACCATGAAGAGGTAACCATTACTTGTGTTAGAAATTTAGGAATTATGTGTTTTGTTCAAAGTATTGAATTTGATTTCAAGTTGATAATTGATTTTGTCCTCTAATTGTTGTCTAGTCACTGTGTGCAACTCCCTTCGTGTTACATTTAATATTCTGTTAGAACACCTAAACTTGATTCCTTTTGAACATTCTCTTTATCTAAGATCGCAAATTTTACGAAACCCTAAGAGTTTATAATGGTGTATATTACGATCTTAGGATTACTTTGGGTGACCTATTTGTGCACTTTGGTTATTCTATTTTCTCAAAATTTCATAACATTTTGAAGTTGGAATTTTCAATTGGA